CTAAACCCTAAACCCTGAACCCCTGAACCCCTAAGCCCTAAACCCTAAACCCTAAACCCCTAAACCCCTAAGCCCCTAAACCCCTAAACCCCTAAACCCCTGAACCCCTACACCCCTAAGCCCCTAAACCCCCCCTAAAACCCTAACCCCTAAACCCCTAAAGCCCTAAGCCCCTAAGCCCTAAGCCCCTAAACCCCTAAACCCCTAAACCCCTAAGCCCTAAACCCTAAACCCTAAACCTCACAGGGGCCGCTCCCCGGTCGCAGAGGACAGGTGAGCGATGGCCTTGGAAGAGGTTCGGCGGGAAGAGGAGTTAGGGGTGTAGGAGTTGGGGGCTTAGGGTTAAGGGGTTTAGGGTTTAGGGATTTAGGAGTTTAGGGTTTTGGGTTTTGGGGTTTAAGGTTTGGGGTTTAGGGGTTAGGAGTTTAGGGTTTTGGGTTTTGGGGTTTAAGATTTAGGGTTTAGGGGTTAAGAGTTTAGGGTTTTGGGTTTTGGGGTTTAAGTTTTAGGGTTTAGGGGTTAGGAGCTTAGGGTTTAGGGTTTGGGGGTTTAGGGTTTAGGGGTTTAGGGTTTAGGGCTCCGGGGGTAAAGAGCACACCTTCTTGAAACTGTGATGGTTTAGGGGTTTAGGGTTTCGGGTTGAAGGTTTAGGGTTGAGGGGTTTAGGGGTTGAGGGTTTAGGGTCGAAGGTTTAGGGTTTAGGGGTTTAAGGGGCTCAGAGTTGAGGGTTTAGACAGAACATTTATCAGGATCGTAGTCGATATCTATCTACATGTATGTATATACATATACACATAACAATAGGTGTATATACGGGTTTCTGTTGATACGAGGCGGTCCTGAGGGCTCCAATAGGAAGTGTATAGGTATAGGCTGCCAAAAGGGATGAATACTCAGGGTAAGGATTGAAGGCTTAAAAAAAGGAGCCTTCATAATTGGAATAAGGCTTTGGGGCCCAAATAAGGAGCCCCAAAAATAGTATTGGTAATTATTTAGGCCCCTATATTAATGCTTTGCTTTAGGGCTTAGTGTCTTGGCTAGGCCCAGGGTCTTCTGTAATCCGCTACCCTTAAGCGCGTTGAGGGTTTTAGGGTTTAGCGTTTAAGGGTTTCTACACGGGAAGGGTTCTGCAATAAGGGGTTAAGGCTTATTAAACTATGACAAGAAAGTACATGAGGTCTGTTTGGATCGCGAAAGGTAACGCAACTTTGAATAGCCCCTCTCTATGCGGGGGTTTCCGTTTTTAAGTAGCAAGTAGCAGGATCCGTTTTGCAGGGGACCTCGAATTTAAGGAAACCGCTCTGGAACTTATAGGAAACATGTCGAACGCCTCAAACAACCTGGAACACACCTAAGAAATCTTTCCGCGAACCTTATGGCCATTCTCCAAAAGCTCCTGAATTTCCGATGCCCTAGGCCGCCCCTCGGTTTAGAATTTAGGGTCCGGGTTTAGAGTTGAGGGCATAGCGACGAGTGAGGCTGCAGAGCGTCAGGTTTGTAGTCAATCACCCGAAACGGGACCCTCCTTTAGACCAACCCTTCTAGCACCCGAATGGAAACCCCAATAATCCCTTATAGATCCCTTTAAGGGACCGTAGTTTAAAGAACTACCCCCCTCAAGCTTTAAACAGGGTCTCCGGGTCTCCGAAGTCCTTAAACCTCTCAGTTTAGGGTTTAGGGTTTATGGTAGAAGCCCAAAAGTTGGAAACCCAATAGCCTCAATGCTCAAGAGCAATGTATAGGGAATCCCAGCACTATTTAAGTCCTTAATCCGATTTCCAACTTTTTGGGGCTTGCTGTAGGGTTTAGGGTTTGGGGCTTCATCCTGGCGAACCTTCGGAGTGGATGCGAGCCGGCGATGCCGGCGAGTACATCAGAGTCCTACAGTCTGTTATAGTAAACTCTCGCATACTGGCATACTGTAGTATATTATAGTCTTTCAGTATACTTCAGTCATAATATAGTGTATCGTAGTCTTATAAAATCTAATTATGGTCTTATGGTGCACTATAGCTTGATCGTGAACCTAGTTATTCAGACTTTGTGGACCGGGAACTTCCTCCACTTGGCTCCGGACGGCCAGTTTCTTCACGACTTTCTCTAGGAGCATGAACTCACTGCTGTGCTCCACATCCTGCGTTGTGGAGATGCAGTTTAGAACCCGAAAAGGCCGCGCCTTCATCGTAGATCGAGGGTCACTTGAGCTTATATGAACCCTGAACCCTGAACCCAAACCACTAGCGTGCGAAGACCCAAAGCTCTGAACCTCAAACGACAAAAAATGCAAATTCTACATGAACCCTGGCCGGTAAACTAAAATCTTGGAACACGCTGAAACCCTGAACCCCCTACAGCCTTTCCATCTCCATAATCAATTATCCCGGCAAACCCTCTAGAAAATCCTGAAACAAGCCTGTCTAGAATCCGTGCAATATCGAACCCCCCAGACATCCTCGAACACTAAATTCAATCCCATACCTTAATACCCCAAATAACCTACCTTCTTTGGGGGACTTATATTATGAAGAAACCATAATAAGGAACCCTAGAAAGGTACGTTCTTCAGGGTCCAGGTAAGCCCTGAAAGTGAATCCTCTACCTTGGACCCTACCGCAGGGCCACAATCATTAGTAGAATGAGGGCTTTGGGCTCCTTTAGGGCATAGTTATACTACGGAACCTCAGGAATAAACATAACAAGGAACCTGAGGAATAAGTATAAAAAGCAACCTAAAGTAATACAGATATAGGCAAACTATTTTATCTAGAATTCTAGAAAAAAAAACTCAACTCCAACAAAAGGACTTAGATCTGAAGGCAGCGCGAAGGAGGTCCTGGTATTCGTCTTCGTCTTCGTCTTCCGACCTGGGCACAGGATTGGCTTGGGGAAGGCGATTTTGAGGTTTGAGGGCTTAGGGTTTTTGGGGCAGCTTAGAGTTTAGGGTTTAGGGGTTTAGGGTTTAGGGTTGAGGGTAGAAGGTTTAGGGTTTAGGGTTTGGGGTGTTAGGACTTAGGGTTTTGGGCAGTTTAGGCTTTAGGGTCTATTGCTCAGAGATTTAAGAAACCCCGCACCCTGAACCCTGTAAGCCCCTTCAAGACCCCTGTAGAATCCAAGCCCTTGCAGGGGGGGCCTTCGAACTGTCAGAAGAACCTAATTCTGAATTCTGGGGTCTTATAAACCCCAAGCTCTAAACCTTGTAACCACCAAACCCTAACTCAAGGGTCCCAAAGTCCTAAACCGCCTAAACCCTAAATCCTAAACCCCTAAACCCCAAAGCCGAAACCGGGGCCCAAGCTCATCCTCGTCCTTGAGGTCGGTAGTGTACTTGAAGATCTGCTGACCTCATGGGGTTTAGGCTTAGGGTGTAGGGTTAATTCGGGGTTTCTGCAGTTTCGGGACAAAGATTTTTGGGTTTGGGCCTCCCTAAGCCCTAAACCCCTAAATCGTGAAGCCGTGGGGGACATGCTGGGGCGATCTGGGGGTCTGCATCTTTTCCGACGGTGAGGAGCCATTGCTCTTGCGCGGTCTCATGGTTTGTCGTTTTTCGGAGGCATGAGGCGATTTCCGAGTTCGGGATGTTCAGGGTTTGGGGCTTAGGGAATTGGGGTATATTCTACTACAATTATAATCGGGAACCCCTTAAAATTGTTTGGACCCTTTAGGCCCCTATATTAGAGTAGAACCACGAGAAGAGTGGTCCATCCACCCTCGAGCCCAACACCACCAGATGCTGATTTAATGTGGCCAGCTACTAACACCGTCTATTCAAGAAGTGCGCGCAACAAGGATTTCTGCAGCATCCCAGTCTGCAGTCTTTGCAAGGACATTACCACATCCAGCACGCGCGCAATGAGTCATCGACTTTCTGTGTGCCACTGCGTCACAAGGAGTTCTCAAAGGTTTTCATAGCAGTCTGATGGCTAATTAGCGCAAGACACCGAAAGCAACGCTGATCTGAAAGAGAAGAAGAGCTTCTTGCTTCAACAACTTGCTGATGCAGGGTCAACTGGTGAGATCGATCCCGGATCCCAGCACAACTGCCCAACAGGGTCCCAAGTGCCCAAATAATTAGGCCTTGAGTCCCAAACTCCATACTTTCAACGGTCCTGGGCACCTGAAACCGTACCAAAAAACCCTAACATTTGGATACCTGGACCCTCTGCGCTACCTACTCAGCTCCTAGGACAAACGATGCCTACGGCCTTAGACCTTATTGTTTGTTTGTCTGGTGGGGGGGGTCCCCAGAGATCCAGCTGTTCTTTGGCCGGGCTCCTACAACCATCTTGTGTCCTTATATCCTAGGCACCTAAACCCGTATCCAGAGAACCGCACATCTCTGCCGCACAACCGACAGCATGCGCTCCAGCCTCAGAAAGGAAGACCGGATTCCACTTTGGAATTGTTCGGGTTCACGGTTTGACGCTTACGGCGTTCGCAGTTCGGGTGGTGCTACATTGCACTCCGCGAGAAACTTGTTGATGTTGGGTGCAAAATGAGAGCACGTATAGATTACAATCACTTTTCTGCCAGCTGCCAGTATCTATCTATCCATCTATCTTTCTTTCTCTGTGCCTATCTATCTGTGTACACACACTTCAGGGTTTAGGGTTTAGGGTTCCATGATCTTTGCTTGAGGACACCGTGATGCGAACTTGGCATTTGAGAAGCCATGAGTCAAGCAGTCAAAGGCCGGCCGACAACTCCGAAACGGGTTTAGGGTTTAGGGCTTAGGGCTTGGGTTAGGGGTTTAGGGTTTAGGGTTTAGGGTTGAGGCAAGATCTTCGCTGTCAAGGTCTTGCTTTACCAGGTGTCGATTTCAAGAGCCCCCAACACTTATGTAGAGTTAGGGTTCTATATTGATAGGAAGCAAGAAGGGAAAGGGAAATTATCCCAAACCGGCAACTTGTTTAGCTTTACTGTATATGTAACATGAAGGACCAGCCATACGATAATCCGTGGAAAGTTCAGACGATGGATGTACAAAAAACACAACATGTCCCATGTCGCATATACCGTTCAAAACACTTGCGTTCCGCAGCGTCGATGTTGCTATGCTTCCGACTCCGGAGAACCAGCGATAGATGCTACCATCGCAACTCCAACCACACCTTGACGCACTTTAAGAGATAACTCATGAATCCCATGGCACTGAACAAACCTACCTATGCCACTGTCACATGGAAGAATATGACTAAACCAGACAGAACTACACGCCAAGCATGCAAACGCAGCAGCAACGAGAGTTTTGGTTCTCTTGACGAAATGGGATGTGCTGAGGCACCGGCGGCAGCAACGCAACTTGGCTGATGCTCTGGCTCATAAGAAGGCCGAAGACGCACATCACCACGACCTGGTTGAGCAGCGGGTGCCGGGGTTCGAAGTTAAGGATATTTTTGGGGTTTGGGGGTTCGGGTTTAGGGTTTAGGGCTTGGGTTCGGAAGTTCAGGATTGGTGGTTAGAGTGAAGGATTTAAGGATAGGGTTTTGGGCTGAGGGCTTCGGAGTGGCCGAGAATGGCCATAGTCTTTGGGTCGATGATCATCATGGCGCCGGGCGTCCGGGAAATCTTCGTTTGGATGTGGAGTGTTTGATGGAGTGAGTATTTAATCTGAGTGATCTATTTACAGTATAAGCCAGAAAGTTGGAACATGATTATCCTCATGCCCTTAATGTAAAGTATAAGAATTTCAGCACTAATCATCCTAGATCCATGCTCCAATTTTCTGGGGTTCGCTATAGACCGCTGATTGTAGAACCTTGGGCACTATTATTACTCATGCATCGCATGCAGGAGCAAACAGATGATTCGCTAAGGCCTTGAGGCAGACATCTGGTGCCAGAATCGTGTGCAGAGCAGTCAGTTAGGGGCCCGGCCACGAAACACAGCAAGCCCATTCCCGCTGCACTCTCCTTCATTGGCTCCAGTGTTACTCCTTATGAACACCATTTTAGATACAGATTCCCTGCACACAAACCCCGCATGTGCGAACCGCCTCTTCTAACTAAAGTGCTGGGATGAGAACTCGTCGGGTTCAGTTGCCTTCGTGAGCGCGGCTTACGGGTTTTGACCCTCAACCTAACAACGACAAATGCATCCTCAAACAAGAAGCCGTAAAGCCGAAACCATCCATAACCTACATCCCTAGAGGCCCCTCGCAGATTTGCGGCTGTGGTGCAAAGGCCTTGTGGATTCGGGCCAACAGTCAAAGCTACCACTGTTAGGGTTTAGGCCTCCGGGTTCGGGCTTGGGAATTAGAGTCTAGGCGTAAGATAGGGTTTAGGAGTTTCTGTTGGGGGGGGAGCTTAAAGCTTAGGGTTCAGGCATCGGTTCTTTTTGGTGGTTTGGCGTCTCAGGGTTGATGGGTCCAGGTAACATAGTCGCGTTGTGGGCGCATGTCTTTAACCATGGCTTATGCAAGCGGGATGTTTGAAGTTTTGGGTTTGGGCAACCCCTAAACCTTAAACCCTAA